GAGGTTGGGACGGATGGAGAGTCCCATGGGAGCGTAGCGGGGTCCCCAGTACGCTCGGCGGCGGACCCAGAAGTGGACCAGAAGCACTTCCAGTCCACTTCTGGGTCCATTGTGGAGTGTGTGGGGGATCCTGCCATGCCCTGGCTCAGTGACTGGTGCCTCCTGGGTCTGGGGGGGCTCCTGGGGTCCCCCTGCAGCTGTGGGGTGCAGGGGTGGGGGGGATGGTCCCCCACACACTTGACAGCAGGCCCAGAAGTGGACCGGAAGTACTTCCGATCCACTTCCGGGTCTGCTGCCGAGCATGTGTGGGGTCCCCCGCGCTTCTGTGGGATGCTTCATCCACCCCACCATCTCAGCATTCATGAGCTGCACCTGGTACCTTGAAGTATGTAGAAAAAACATTTAAAGCTGTGTCTATGGCCAAATCAGCATCAAATCTTCAGATTCGGATTCAGCCAGATCAAATAGGGACAGTGATCCAAATCAACCAGTTGAATCACTGTCCCCCAAATCAGGCTGAATCAAAATTGAATACAGCCCACTTCGCACACCCCTAATAGACACCAAGCTGTGTGGAGTTGCAGGCACTTTGGAGGATAAAATTAGAATGCAGAATGACCTTGATAAATTGGAAAAATGGTCCAAAATTGACTGAAATTCAGTAAGGATAAGTGCAGACTCCTGCACATAGGACAGAACAATCAAATGCACAAATGCAAACAGGAGAATGATTGGATAGGCTGCAGTACTGCAGAAAAGCACGTAGGTGTTATAGTGAACGTCAGGCAGAATATGAATCAACAGTGTGCTGTTGTTTTAAAAAAAAAATCTGATATTATGCTGGGTTGTATTAACAGATGTGTTGCCTGCAAAACGGGGGATGTGACCTAACATATAATTTGGGTTATTTTTACCTATCTGCATCACTTTACACTTATCTATACTGAATTTCACTTGCCACTTATTTGTCCATTCACTCAATAGTTCCAGCTCCTTCTGTAGTTCCTTGCAGTCCATCTTGATCTTTACCACTTTAAATAATTATGTCATCCACAAATTTGGCCACCTCACTATTCACCCCCTTTTCCAGATCATTTATGAATGTTGAACAGCACCAGTCCCAAAACAGTTCCCTAGGGGACACCATTGTTTATTTCTTTCCATCCCAAAAACTAACTATTTGTAATCACTCTGTTTTCTATCTTTAAGCCAATATCTAATTGATGAGTAAGCCTTCTCTGTAATCCCATGACTATCTAAATTCATTCATTGATTCTGATGGAGGACCTTGTCAAAGACTTTTTGGAAGTCCAAATATATGATTAACCAGATCACCCTTATCTACCTGCTTACTGACACTCTCAAACAACTCTAGTAGATTAGTGATGCATGATTTTCCTTTGAGAAACCATGTTGATTCCTCTGCAACAAATAATGTTCATCCCTGTGCCGAAAAATTTTTTACTGCTATTACCATTTTTACTCAAATATAAAATGAGGCTTTTTCTACCCTAATCAGCATGGGAGAAAAAGCTCCTCGTTTTACATTTGCATAAAAGGAAACCTCCTTAAATACACTGAGGCTACATCTACACAAGACACTACTGCACAGTGGTTACTGTGCATTTATTTACTACTTGTATAAACAAGTACTAAATAAATGTGCAGTAACCTGAGTTACTGCTCAGCACCAGCCAATGCCTTTTTTTGTGACACGGACTGCACAATAGCATTGTGTCACGGTATTTGCCATGCAATGCTATTGCACAGGAGTATTAGTCCTGTGCAGAGGCAGAAAAGGATCTTGGAGTCATTATTGATGCCAAAATGAACATGAGCCGACAGTGTGGGGACACGGTCAAGAAGGCCAACCGTACCTTGTCGTGCATCCACAGATGCATCTCAAGCAGGTCCAAGGAGGTGATCCTCCCCCTCTATGTGACACTGGTCAGGCCGCAGCTGGAGTACTGCATCCAGTTCTGGGCGTCGCACTTCAGGAGGGATGTGGACAGCATTGAGAGGGTTCAGAGGAGGGCTACCCACATGATCAGGGGGCAGCAGGGCAGGCCCTAGGATGACAGGCTAAGGAACCTGAACCTGTTCTACCTCCACAAGAGAAGGCTGAGGGGGGATCTAGTGGCCTGTTACAAATTAATCAGGGGGGAGCAGCAGGCATTGGGGGAGTCCCTGTTCCCCCGAGCACTACCAGGAGTGACTAGAAATAGCGGTCACAAGCTGGCAGAGGGGATATCAGGAGGTGCTACTTCACTGTCAGGGTGGCTAGGATCTGGAACCAACTTCCAAAAGAAGTGGTGCTGGCACCTACCCTGGGGGTCTTTAAAAGGAGGCTGGACGAACACCTTGCCAGGGTCATTTGACCCCAGCATTCTTTCCTGCCCATGGCAGAGGGTTGGACTTGATGATCTGCTCAGGTCCCTTCCGACCCTACCAACTATGAAACTATTAGTCTACTGCATAGTCAATGTTTCATGTAGATGCACCCTGTCTATCATTACATTTCTGCCAAAGTCAGTGTGTGCTTAGTAATGGAAACCAACTATAAAGCTGACTGAATGCAGCTAACACTGAACATGACTATAAAAACATGGCCCATATGGGGCAATTATATTGATGGGAACCTTTTTTATTATTATTACAAAACAACTAAAAGAAACGACACCAACACAAAATTTGACAACCTGCCCTAAAACAATACCTTATTCTTCTTACAGCTTCTTACCCTTGAAAGATAGTGTTCTACTACTCCATAATCCCAATATCTGTCTCGCTCTTCTCTCTAACTTCTCCCACACCTTTGTTCCTTTCCCTTCAGTGTCCATTAGGATTCCTAAGATCGTGGTTTCACCCTCTACCACCAACAGCCCAAACTTCTGTAAATTCTCCCAGTTCCCTTCACCCATCAACATACTTTTCATCTTATTTAATTTTGCCCCTGATACTTCACCGTAGTCCTCAGTATGCTTCAGTACCTCCCAATTGATACATTGTCCTGTGCCAATATTTTCACATCATCCATGTATAATGTACATTTAATTTGTCTTCTTCCTGTTATATCTTCACACCACTTACCAGCTTATCCTCACAAATTCTCTATACCAATGGCTCCGTCACACACACAAAAAGATACGGGGACAGCGGGCATTC